AGTTTCACCTTTCAAACTCTTAAACAACATCCGTTATGTATTTTTAAAAGCCCGCGTTCTTTCAGCTGGTAGATTTTTCGCTGTTAAATATTTTTGTGTTTTAAGCTCTTTTTCTTTCTCCTTTCTTTCTTTTTTTTTTTTTAACAATATCCATTATCTCGAACTTGGGGGCTGAGAAAAACAGACCCACTATAAATAATAGATATTCTACGAGAAGAAATTCAAATCAGTTTTTATCCATTTCAATGACTTTTGCATGAACTCCTGATATATTTTTCTTATATGTGTGGGCGGACAGCCTACTCTTTCCAAGCAAATGGTTAAACTTGTGCCTGCCTCGTGATCGAGATAGTTGTGTATTTTGTGGCCAGTGCTCGAGCCAGGATTTAAAATTTGAATCTCAAGGCATGTTGGTGTTCCTTACGGATGCAATATGATCTTCTAGGTCGTTTTCCTCTCTGTTCTAAGGGATGCGCCCTTATTTTATATTTTTATAGATGTATACAAAGGTTAGACGAACAGAAAGCCAAAAGTTTGTATCACATATTGACGATAAAATTCACCGCCAGGATAATCGTCTGTGGGTCTGCCTTGGCGCTATACAATATTCTTGTCCTTATTTACTATCACATGTTAACTTTAGTGAACAGCTGTTAGCTGATGGGTTTGCGTATGACAGCAATTATGAAGGCAGAAAGTAAGATCTTGGAGCCGATTTCAAATTCCGGCCGAAGTCGTTGCATTCACTTTCGCGCATATCAGTCAGTTATGTGCCATGCGTGATACACGCTTTGGCGATCATGTATCTTTCAATACATGACTAACAAAGCAGATTTTTTCCCCAAGTAGGTCACCATTTCTTTCTTCGGTAGACCAGTTGCATCCAAGGCCGGTCTGCCCTACTATTTAACCATAGCTGTGTGGAGAAGACTAGGATTCATACCTTTCCTAAGGGTATTAGCACGTAAGTGAATGTAATCGATTCGACTAGAATTCGAACTCGGCTCTCCGATTCCTCAATCCGATCCGCTATCCATTACTCCTCGCGCAAGTATCTCTGGGTAATTATGGATCCGTTTGAATTATCGCCAGTCTTGGCAAAGTTGTTTAGCCGCTGCCTGAAATAGAAATGTTTCCCAAGAAGTGGAACTTAACATAATTTGTCCCTTTTGTAATAATGCTCGTGAATGTTCATCCTGTTCGCAATACCACTTCATCAGCCGTCTTAATGTCATTAGAAAATTCTTTGAGTCTATTATCATCGAGGAAGTAGTTGTCACCTTCCCCAGAAACAACCTCCTGAGCGAAAAAACAGTTTGGGTTTCGCTCTTCTAGGTTCCCTGTTGTTATATTCTGTCCTTACAGAATTAGTGAAGTACAAGATACCAAATTTATCAAGAGAGCCATTGCTCTAGATATTTGGCTCTAAGTCTGCCATAGGAAGTTGCTACACAAACCCTCCATCTATGGCATCTGTGGTAGAGTCTGCGCTAGTATCAAGCCTTCAAGGATCAAGGATTTCAATCAAACACGTTGTGAATGTCCAGTATTCTGAAATCCATGAAATCAATGCACCCACCCCACGGGACTCTCATCTAGGCCCTACCCTATTTTTGCTTTTTATTAACGTCATGGAACATTTTCAGATCATTAGATAACATCTATGCAGATTACACCAGATTTTATCGAAGCATCTCTAGAAATCAAGATGTTTGAAGCCTTACAGCCGATCTCTCCTGTGATCTAGCTCTAACAGATCAACTGGGGAAAATGTTTTATAACATTCAATACCTCAGAATCTAACCTAGTAGTGTTTCATCATCACTGATCAGAGGGTTTTTTACCAGTCACGTGGAACAGTTGCCCTCCCAATGAGACTTGAACGTGTCTTGAAAGTTAAGTTCATTCCAGGCCAAAATACGATTCGTTGCATATGATGCTGAAAAAAAATGGTCAGCGCATTCTACCATTCTATAAAGTACCTGACTCCTTCTGGTATGATTTATCTTCTACATGAGTCAGATGCGACTAGAAATGAAGTATCGTTTCCATATCTTGGCTGGCGCTGCTCAGTCCTTATTCTCCAACCTGGACGGAGTTCATAATCGTATCCGCGGTTTTGTAGGGGATGACTTCGTTTCCACTTCGCAGGCCCTTTCACAAAGACGCAACTTCGTAAGCCTATCGCTGAACTTTTTAGTTCCGCTAATTCAGACCTTTACAGTTAGAATTCGCCATGCTGCGCCCATGAAGTTGAAACAACCTCATTTTCTCTGTATTCCAGTTACAAGGAAGAAATTTCAACTCACACACCTTTTTTCTCCCAAGAACTGCTACTTTATGGAACAGACTCCTGCTTTGGTGCTTCCCTAAAAAATTACAATCTTAACCTCTTCAGTTCAAAGGTCAATCGTTATCATTTATCACCACAACCTTCATTTCCTTCTCCCTCCTTTTACATTCATATCACATACCTCATTCTGTAACCGTCTACCTGGAATGACTCTTGACCCTTATATTGGGTGAATGTTAGTTCTGCAACCGTTATTGCGGTTAAATGAAGGACCTGCTGGGATTTCTAGGTTTGCTCGGAGCCAGTCTAGGAGATGCACTACTAATTCAAAACCAGTTGGGCATAAGGCTAGCAGTAATGAGTACAAGGTACTTAGTATTGGGATCTCAGCAGCATTGCCTAGTGTGATGGAACTGTAGCCCAATGCTCCATAGAATGTGTTCAGATTCAAGAAGTGTACGTGGAGGATGCTGGGTGCCTGATTTTTGTAATGCTCGTTGTAGTAGAGACTTTGTAATCGCAGATACAACTATAGTACGCCGTTGAACAATACTGGTGTCAGATGCCTTCGAATAACACTCGCACTAATAGTACTTGCTCGATAATACTCGTTCGAAAAGTAATCCGTATAGTGGTCCGAATAGAGAAATAATATAGTGAATAGAGTAGGGAATAGCGGACTGAATAGTGATAGAGTAGAAATGGCAATCCGTATAATATAGAGGATAGACTTGAAATAGCGATGAATTAGACGTTACGCTACTTTCCTCACGTGGTCTACTTAATTCACTAATGGGATCACCTGTGTTTACTCATTGGCGATCCATGATCAAACTCAAGTGTCAGCAGCGACACTTTATTCCTATATAACCCTGGCTTTAGAGTAGTACTGAGTAAGTTTATTGCTTGTCAGTACTGACTGATCCTGACCCTTTCTAAATACCCTATGTTGAGTTTAATAAATAGCAGTAATCTGCCCGATATTCAAATTCTAGAACAGTGAATTCTTTCATAAAGAATTCAGTTTCAGTCATCATTAATATGATGTCTTTTATTTTCCAAATCGCCATGCGTCCTAATTTCATCCGGTAAATTTTTCTCTTTTTCTCTTTCAGTCTTTGTGTAATTTCTCTTCTTGACTAACCAGGGTTTTTTGGATGATTGATTTGTTTTTACGATTTATCAACCTTTTGCACGTTATACAAAGCCAGAAAATATTTTTAATGATTTATTGATACAAGTCCTACTAATTAACTCAAAGCTGGAGGTAGAAGAAATTAATTCATAGCTTTCACTCAGAAAGAGACAACTGAAACTTTGAAGCCCCCATAATAAGGTAGGTTTAGAGAATTTAATACTTACAGGGCACACTGAAGTTAAGATGTGCAGAAGAAAATTTTTTTTAAGTATTTCACCCCAAGCAAGGCAGGAATGCCACTAGCACGCAAGGCGTTACAGAGAGTGAGAGTAAAGAGGGTTGTTTGAGGAAGGGATACAGAGAAGGACGGGGATCAAGTCCATGGCATCAGAAGATGTCGAGTGACATTACATTTGAATATTTGAAGATTATATCTATCAGGGAAGCAAGTAAGAGGAATGGTGTTTCACTGTCGGGAAGTGCGAGAGAAGAAATGCTCAAAAACGTTTCCTGAACAAGATCAATTTTGTAGGGGTGTTTGTGTACATATTAAAAAAAAAGAAACGTTAAAAATAACCTGTTCTAATCTCATAGAAATTTAGATGAATACAACGTAAGTCCAGCTTTAATGATAACAAGTCTTATGAATTAGAGTATTTACATTAGTCGGACTATTGTCCTCATCTTTGTCGCCATATTTGTCACAACGTTTCGGCCGTTGTACGCTCCGGCCTTCTTCAGGTGGTTGGAATTTCGAACTGAACCCTTTATTTCGATCACTGGGGTAGACTGTTCTAGTTCCACGTGCCATGTTTGATGGATGTCAGTTATCAGTTATCTCCTGCTAATTTTCCCTCTGAAAGTTCTCCACTGCCTTAACCAGGAATTGAACTCACCTTCTTTGGGTCTGTCACTGGATCTAACCAACGCCTTTATCCACTTTGCCATGTCTCCTTGAGGACATCTGGGTATGAACTTCTGAGTCAGCACATATGCTAGGTCACAAAAATCTCCTGAGCCGACCAAGCATAGAAATAAATACAATATGGGAACCAGTAATAAGGAATGCCAGAGAAAAGCAATGATAACAAAGTTGCAATATGAACTCTGGTAAAGACATGCAATGATAACAGCAAAAATTGCAATATGAGCACTGGTAAAAATGATGGTGAAAACATTAGGTTTATAATACAATGCAAGGACGAATGGTAGATTTGTAGATTTGAAGGATGGATTCAGGTGAGAAAAACCTTCTTGCACGACACAGATGAACGAATAACGTGCTACAAAAGGGTGACTAATTAATTTGTTTTTAAGTCTTTTCCTGTTACAGGTTATTTAAAGACAGAAATATTTTTAGATTGAAAGAAATTTTGGGGAGATAATAATAATACGAATGCAATTCCTACTAATTAACACATAGCTGGGGCGAGAAAAACGATGAATTCATAGCTTCCTCAATGCTATTTGAGCGTAAGTAAATCTAAAGAACCCGACTGGAATTGGAACTCGGCTCTCGGAGTTCCAATTCCGTGCCGTTGTTTATTACATCACCCTCACATCCAAGCTCACAGTATCTGGTATTCACAGGCGGTCACCCATCTAAGTACTGACCAGGCTCGACGTTGCTTAACTTCGGTGACCGTATAAGCAAAACGCTGTTTCAAAGCGATATGGCCTTAACCCCTTGGACGTTCAAGGATCTCCACAGTTTTCTGTCTTTTATTGCTTTCAACAATATTTAGACTCTTCGTTTGTTGTATTCAAACATGTCAAGGCTTAAGGCCATATCACATTAAAAGGCCAGGGTCTTTGATCTTTTGTTTTGCTTATCCAAACATCTGGTTTCAGAAACGATAGTAGTTGATTGATCTGTCCTTACGATGCTGGTGTCAATGAGGTGTTAAGAAGACGATAAGTAGATGATACGTTTCAGGGGACTTAAGAAACACTTTTATTTTATTTATTAAAATTAGACTACTAATATAGAGACATGCACACACACACATTATGAAATGGATTAAGTGTGATTACTATTTAATATATTTTCTGTTTATACGTTATTTCTAATGGATACAATTTATTTAAGTAAATGCTCTGTTTTTAAATAAACAGTATTAATTACATGTACCGGCCTGAATGTTCGAGAAATTTCATAGAAAATATGTGCTTCTCCGACAGGAATCGAACCTGTAACGCCCAAATGGAACCTTCATTTGATCTGATGTTTGTGGCTGAATGATTAACAGTACCTCAACTATGGGTTAATTAGTAAGACTTATATCACTAAATCGCTATTATCTCCAAAAAAAAAAAAAATGAAATCGTAGAATCTAAAAATAGTTTCTGGCTTTAAATAACTCATAAAGAGCTGATAATCCGTAGAAAATGAAACAATCGTTTTACTGGGAAAAAATAGAAGGTTCGCAAATTTCTAATGAAAATAAAACGGATAAAGTGTTAGAATGTGAGGGACTTGATCGCATAAAAAACTGATTACCTCCCGTTTTCTCACAAGGATGCATACTTTTTCTGAGCAGTCCTGTGTTAGATCTTTGTATATTTCCCGTGGCCGCTGCTGATCAGTTTTGGAGTTCAGGTAAATGTCAGGATCTTCCAGGTCGAGGCCATCTTCGGTTTGAAAATTAGTACAACATGGCTTCCCTTTCTTGATTTCATTCTATTTTGGCATTTTACTGACGTTAAACTAAGCTTGGTAAAGATCATTTTCTCGATGATTACAGCAAATGATTTGTCTCCTCTTGAATACAAGATAGGTAATTACCACGATATAAAAAGTATTGTATTGTAAAATTGTTACGAAAAAATATAAATTGGCCATATATAGATTAAATAAAAACATTTGTTTTTGCCTCAGGCTTCATTTTAATCGAAATTATATCTAGTAAACAATGAATTAATCTCCTTCCCGGCAAATAATTTGGAAAAAAACGTTTGATTTTCAGGCGAATTTCTATTTGTTTTCTATATAGTAACTAAGAAACTGAGGCACCTTAAAGTACTCGAGTACTCTACCAGACGTATGAGTTGAGAATTGGACTTGTTTCAAGTTCAGGTCATAAAAATAATCAAGACTTACGTATAAACACGTCTGTATCTGGTTTTTGAAAGTTATATTTTAGACGAGTTTATTTGTCCATGTTCGAAAAGTCACTTTCGGTGACACCGTATATACACGTCTACGGAAGGTGTTAAGCAATCTAATCTTATTCGACTTTTACTATTTTTCAAATTGATTTCACAGAAGATTTACTGTTTTGGAATAAAAAAATGACATTTTTAAATAATCGGTTAACATCGATACATTTTCACAAAGTTTTATTATGTTGTGGAAGTTTATTCATTTTGCTTAAGAAATTTTCTTAAAGGTAAGTTATGTAAAGTGTGTGTGTTTTTTTTTCCTTTTGCGTACAACAAAAGCGTTGCAAACAACTTACGGATTATAAGATAATCCTAAAACTTGGAGCATTAAGTGGGAGTTAAACGTATGATTATCTGGAAAATTCTGCTTCCTTCATTAAATTTCATACTCTGAAGAAATGTGTCGTTTTATTCGATTATTTTTTCCTAAGGCGAAAGTTTTTGTTTGTTCTCATTTTTTTTCAGATAGATTTTACATAGTTATAACATTTCATACTAAAATACTGACTTTCTTTTAAATACTAAAACTTTCTTTCATTCGCCAGGTAAACTGCTACCATTCGCATTAAGTCTATGATTTTGGAGGTGGAAAATTGTGAACTGGAAAATATATATTAGCGAAATAGGTAAGTACTCTGAATATTTTTTCTTTCTGCTAACATTCTTGAAAAACAACGACATCTTTTCCTTCATTTTGTTGGCGGGGGCGGATTTCCGGTAAGGATTCCATAACTTTACCTTTCATTGGATCCCGCAACTGTATGAGCATTACTCTTAACCTTTTCAGATAAAATCTAAAAGCTAAATATTGTATGTATGACTGGGGAGAACTTGCACTGCTTTGTAAATACTGCAAAATTTTTATTTTTTTTTTTTTTTTTCGAAATACGGCTAAATTTCGCTTGTCTTTTTTTTAACCTTATATTTTGATGTATGAACGCCATTCCACTTCTAAATTATTTGCTTAGAGAAAATGACTAACTTCAATGTATGTGAAATTACATTGTATACTTACTTAGGATAAAGGTCTAACTGATAGGTAGTATGTTATTTACTTATTTTTTTTTTATACTTTATGTCAATTGGTTCATAATATTTTTACTCGGAAAACAAACATTTCTTATTTTGTGAATTGGATAAACTGTTTTGTATCTCTTTTCAAAAAGTATGCACTGGAGATCGCAAAAACATGATTAATCCTTAAATACAGATCATTTTATTTTTAGATTATAAAACATTCATTTTTTGTGATGAAATTTATTTTAATATTAGTTCCTTCTGTTTATTATAAATATGAAAATATTATATTTTTATATACTTCTGTCTTTTCTTTTTAATGATCATTAACTAGCGATTGATAATATAAAACATATTTCAGATTATTTCATATTAATGTTACTTATCAACCAGGGTCACTTAAGATGAAGCCTATGTAAACAATAAAAAAACCGATTGTAGTCTGGATGAAAATTTATTGTTGTTTAAACTTTAATATGGGTACATTCAAGTATTCGGGGTAAATAAAGGATACATGATGGAACAAATACACCCCCACCTCCCCCCAAAAAATCCGAAGTTTTTCCCTCATGATACAATTGTTTTTATTAGAACAATTTTATTATGAGAGAAAATCTTAGGACGGTTTATATTTCTAGTTTTTTTTTTCTTTTTTTTTTTGAACTTGTACGGGAAAATTGAGCAACATTTTGTAATTTGGAGATTTTTACGAAACTCAGATAATCGTCAAAATTTAATGACACTTTCATGACTTATTCAGAACTGAATTAAATTATTTTTAAAACTTATTTTATTTTATTTTTTTTACAAAATATTCGTAACATATCTCTTGATAAATGGTATCCACCAAGATCGAACATTATCAAAAAAAATTCAGGTATCTAAAATTTATTGGTAACAAAGTACCTAAAATTCAATAAAATATTAGATTGCTCAGGATATTTTCTTAAATTTTTAATCTTACTGGGTAGTTAAAAAAAATGATATAAAAAGGGGTTCACATTGTATTCAAGAAATTATTTCAGTCATGTGCCCTTTACTTAAATTTCTCAAACATCTGATTATCAATATATCACTGAATCGATCAGAAAGAACACCTGTCCCGTGTTAGAACATGCCTTCTACGATATTGTAAAATTAAAGTAATATTTGTTTCAGTTCAGACAGATTAAAATTTACATCAGCAAATCTTCCTCAGAAAAAGTTTTAAAATACAGCGTAACCCGGATATAAGAGAGATTTTCTCTGGTCCCAAATTAGAGCCTGTGTTAATGTATATAAAATAGACCAAACCCGGATGTAAGAGAATTCTTCTCAGGTCCCGACAACTCCCTTATATCCGGGTTACACTGTAGTATATTTTATTTTTGAAAGATTTTTTTTCTTTTTTTTTTAAGAGAATTTTGTATTGACAAATCTGTAAATATGCACGAATTCATAGATTTGACTGATGAAGACAAAAAAGATTCCAGTCAATTTAAATTCAGTTTAAAATAAAGTAATTTGCTTATTAGGAATATTACATTTTCATCTATTAGTTTAGAATTAAAATAAAATTAAAGCTTCAAGAAAGATTTTTCATTTTTTTAATATGCATTTTAAACTTGGGTATTGCAGTGTTTTTGAAGTACCTACTTTAATGTTTCTCTTTGAGATATTAACCTCTGTAATTTGGTAATAAGTTGTTGAAAAGAATTATCATGGTTGACGAATTATGTTTTTAAGCCATAACTATTTTTTTTTACAATAGAAATTTAAGTGTGTCTGATACAGTGTCTGCCGAGTTAAAAAAAAAAAAAATGATCAGAATAAAACTATCAATCTAAAGAAAAACTGCCACAAGGGATTACTATTATATTTTAACTTCGGGGATTCCGTTAGCATAAAAGTAATAAAAGAAATACATCACAAAATTATCGGTTATTGTGATATAAACAGTGCTAAGAAGTTCAATAGGCAAAAAGAATGAAGCAAAAAATTGTAGATGAACGAACGCAGTCCATTCCATGAGAGTAGTAAACTTTAATAGACACACAAACACACACTTATGTATATATGTAAGCATTATGAGATCAGCCTATTCCGTTTCCTTGGTTTGAACCTTTCGGTGTCTTCAGACGATTTCCGATAATTGATTTCCCAACGCTTTATTTTAAAAATTAATAAACGCCTTATTATTTTTAGAATGAATAAACGCACGACGTGAAGTATGATAGAAGAGGAGGAGGAGGAGGAGAAAAACAAGGGTATCGGAAATGTATAGGTTGGTGGCGGGGGGGGGGGCTAAATGAAATGTACATACTTTCTTTTCCTCCTAATTCATACGAAATTGTTATTTTTTTTTTAAATTTTATACGTGTATTGAGCACTTTTTAATAGTAGTGTTTCCTAGTCTAATTCAACTCTGCCCTTTTATTTATCTATATATCTATATCTCTATCTATATCTATCTATCTATCTATATCTCTATATATATCTATCTATATCTCTCTATATATAT